TGCTTTTTTTAAAGGAACTTTTAAAAAAATCGTAACTACAATACCATTGCCACATCTAATAAATAATCTCCTAAGACCATCTAATACTCAGTTCATATCTATATACCCTCCTGCTCCCAAAAGGGTTTTTTTTTTAAGATTTTATTTATTTATTTGACACAGAGAGAGAGATCACAAGTAGGCAGAGAGGCAGGCAGAGAGAGAGAGAGAAGCAGGCTCCCTGCCAAGCAGAGAGCCAGATGCAGGGCTCAATCCCAAGATCCTGGGATCATAACCCAAGCTGAAGGCAGAAGCTTTTAACCCACTGAGCCACCCAGGCGCCCCCCAAAAGGATTTTTAATTGCTGGCTTGTTTAAAACAGCATCCAAATACCACACACTGCACTTGGCTGTTATGCCTCAAAAGTCTCTTTTAATCTAGAACAGTGCCAATCTCTGTTGTTACTATTATTATTCTTTTCTTATAAGAATAACTTACTGAAGTGAGTACGCCAGTTTTCCTGTGGAATACTAACACTCATACCTCACATTGTTATACTATGTGAACCTGAACAATTTTTCCATGTCCTTGCTTATCAAATTTGCAAAGGGTTTATTTGTATCATTTGTCTAGTTATGTACAGAAGATTTGGTTTCTCTTATGACTTTGGGATAGCCCTTTACATGTTAAGTACATTGAATTCAACTTTTAAACACTTTGTAGCTTTCCACTGGGCATTCGCTAAAAATCTTTGGTTTTCTTTCTCTTTCTTTCTTTCTTTCTTTCTTTCTTTCTTTCTTTCTCTCTCTCTCTTTCAGACTTTACCCATTTATTTGAAAGAGAGAGAGAGAACGAAGGAGCAGGGTGAGAGACAAAGGGAGAAGCAAACTCCCTGCTGAGCAGGGCGCTCAATACTGAGGATCCTAGGACCCAAGGATCATGACTTGACCCAAAGGCAGAGGCTTAACGAACTGAGCCACGAAGGCATCCCTCATTTTCTTTTTTAAGAATATATAGCCAAATAAGGTATTTCCCCCTTTTCTTGCTTTGCTTAAGACCTAAGAAAACTCTCATTCACCATACCTTTGTTAAACAGTTTCTTCTGGTTATGGATGATATGTTTTAATACTATTTTAATTATGTAGACTTTGTATCTGACTATAGAAAATTGTATCTTCAAAAATATATTTCAGTAATTTTCACTCTGACCACCATAAAAAAAAAAACTAAATAAAGAGAAGAAAAAATAAAAATAAATTTTAAAGAATATGGGTGGGATGATAATTACTACCAAGAAACTTGACGAATATAATAGCTTAGTAGAGAAAAACAAATTTTAATATTACCTAAACCTGTCCTGCCTCTTCTGAACTGTGTGTCATGGGCTGAATTGTGTATGCCCAACAAAAAAATGTCACGTTTTAAACCCTCAGGAGTTCAAAATGTGACTGTATTTGGAGGTAGGGCTTTTAAAGAAGTAATTAAGGCAAAGCAGATGATTTGAGTAGGCCCTCATCCAATATCACATGTCCTTATAACCAGACTGGGACATAGACAAACACAGAAGGAAGACAATGCATGGAAGACAGGTAAGAAGACAGCCATTTGCAATCCAAGGAGACAAGACTTAGAAGAAACCTAGGTTCTTCTAAGACCACCCAGGTTCTAAAACTACCCAGGTCCAATAGGTTAAGGGTCTGACTTCAGCTCAGGTCATGATCCCAGGGTCCTGGAATGGAGCCCATGTCAAACCAGAAGCCCCACTCTCAGCAAGGATTCTGCTTCTCCTTCTCCCTCTGCGGCTCCCCCTGCTCACACTGGCTCTCTCTCCTCTCTCAAGTAAGTAAATACAGAAATAAATCTTTCTTTAATTAAAAATTAAAAAGAAGAAGAATCCTACATTGTAGACATCCTTGTCTTGGATTTCTAGCTTCCAGAGTTGAGAAAATAAATTTCTGTTGTTTGAGCCACCCAGTCTATGACAGTTATGGCAGCCCTAGTAAACTAATATACTTTGTGAGCTTGAATAAATTACTTGAATTTTTCTAAAGCTCAGCTTCCTTAGCCATAAAATGGGGACAATAATAATACTTATCCTATGGGGTTGTTGTGAGAATTAAATCATGTTTGTAAAGCTCATAGCATAGTAATCAGCAAATAAATTCTAGGTATTATCAATTTGAGATTAAATGACATTATACATGTTAAAGCACTTAATTCTGTCTAGTACCCAAAGCTCTGATAATTATTTTTAACAAATGTTCCATTTTTGTCACATTTTCCTATCTCCAAATTAACATCTTTTCGACCAGTCTAGCTTATTTGTGTCATAATTAAATTAGATGCAACAAATGTTGACTTACTAAGGAAAGAAATTAACCAATTCAATCCAGCAAACATTTGTTGAGCACCTATATTTTGTCAGATTTATTTCCAAGTATCTGATAGACTTTGATAATATAGTAAATGTTATTATTTCTTTAAAATTATATTTCTATTTGAAGCTCTTATAAAGATGCAATTTATTCTTACGTGTTATTTTCTATCAGCCTTGTTAAACTTCTGTAATGAGTTAAAAATTTTTATTTTGTAGTTTCTTATTCACAACCAAACCACATACAAACAATAAGAATTTTGGTTTTTATATTTTGATGAACAAAGCTCTTTAATTTCAGGAAATCAAGTGTATCAATCTTTTATCACCAGTGACTTTTGTCTTAAGAAACCCCCCTTCCTTACCTCAAGGTCCAAATGGAGACCCTCAGCTGGTTTCGGGTGGTAGAGAGCTTGTTAAGCTCGGCCCCACTCCTGACCCAAAGTCATCACATCACATTTTCCCCCTCCTTCCTCATACTCTGCTTTCTCTTCAAAAAGAGGCGGGGGAGAGTAGTCTGAATTAGGTTATGAGGCCCCCGCGCCAGGGTACCTCACCTCAGCCATTGAACTCACTTTGCTGGCCGTGAGTCTGTTCCAAGCTCCGGCTAAGGAGGCATCCGCCAAGCCCTTCCCCAAGGGGTTGGGTCCATGGCATCTCCTGCCCAGTCTGCCCTCGCGCGGAGCCCCGTTCTCTGGGAACTCACCTCCCCGAAATCAGGGAGGACCCTGTTAGGGCCGCTGCATGGCCCCAGTCTCAGACCTTCCCAGGGGACATGGGGTAGAGTGACACAAGGCACTCAGCTCGTGGCCCCACCGATGAGCTTCCCTCCGCCCTATGGGAAAGGGTGGCCCCAGCGAGCATTTATAAGGCTCCCGCATCTAAAGACATTTTACAGTTATGGTGACTTCCCACAACGCGTAGCAACATGCAAATATCGCAGGGAGTACCGCCCCTGTCCCTTGTACGCGTCTTCTCAGCACGCACGCACGCGCGCTGTGTTCCCGCCCTGTGACTCCAGGCGGGTATTTCCCGGGGCGGGTTTGCTGACAAGAACGTTCAGGCGCCATGGCTGCCAGACGGCGGGGGACGCGCAGCAATGGGGCCGGAGGTTCGGTGCACATTGTAGGGGGCGAATACTGGGGGGCGGGGAGTCTGAAGAGGAGCTGGGCCGTCTGCTCTAGCCCCACCCCTTCCGTCGCCCCCTGACCCGTCCTTGGCTATCAAGCTAGTTTAGGTGCTGAACTTTTTAAACTTCAGTTTTCAGAGCTTTTCGGATTACAGAATTGTGTATAGGAGCTTGTGGACCTGTAGTAACTAACACAGTGCCAGCACTATTTTAAATACTTAATGTCATCTAATTTAAAATATTTATTGTAAGATGCGTCATTATTTTATGTATCACTAAAGGGAAAAAAATGCTTCCAGTTAAAACGTGATTCATTGTTTATATGTCATCCATTGTAAGATGCAGTCCAGTTTCAAAGATAGTAAAATTCAGGTCTTAGAATTGAGGAGTATTACACTCTCTGTGTTATGTTCTTAAATGCATCCAGCCTACAAATGTGTAGGTCCGTCCTACAAATTAGGTGCTATTGTTGTCCTCCTCTGGATTTTACAGTCGGGGCAACTGAGGTACAAAGAGATGAAGTAAATTCTACAAGTTTCCACAGCTGGAAGAGACCCAGCTAGGCTCTAAACGAGACAGATTCCAGAGCACTCTGTTAACCATTATCTTATACCACCTTAGGTAGTTTGAAGATAGGTATTGGGAAAGTTTGGGGACGCAAGTAAACAGAGATAAGCAGTCTGTATGACACTCATGCCTCAGGCTATGAGCTCACAAGAGCCCTGGGGCTCCATCTTATTTTATCTTATTTTATTTTAATTTGGCTAGAATAGCAATTTAGGACGTGATTTCTCAGACTATTGCCAAGAACAGTGGTATGGCAGTTAACTATTTCTTTGTAAATTTACAAAACCATCTTAAGCCATTTCTTTAAAAAGATGATTTTTTTTCAAAGTAGGATTGTGTTCAGTGGGTACTCATTCTTTCTTTTGGTTCTTTGCCTATTCTTTATGCACATGGCCTCTGTAGCATTAGATGAAGCTGGAAGAGTTCATAATGGCAACACAGCTATAGAAGACCCTCTGCCTGCAAAGAAAACTCGAAGATGCCAGAGGCAGGGGGTGAAAAAGGAGCCTGTGAATGGAGGAGAGACCAATAATAACAAAACAGAAGACAAGCAAGGTCAGCTTCAAGTGGTAGGCCAGAGAGGACATGGACTAGCAGGATTGTCTATGGGAGGGGTGAGGACAAGGGATGCCTTTTTCTTTCAACTCTTACTTCTTCCTTTCTTAAAGATATGATTAATTTTCTATCCTTTGGGCATACCACAATACGAATCTCTTTTCTTTGAATCTTCAGTTTCATGTAATTTAGACAGATTGAGACCTGGACAGATCAGGATTGCTTGGGATGGGCAAAGTTCATTATGACATGATAGTTATTTTTGATTCCCATACAAGTAGCTGTAGTATATATCTCCTCCCTCAGAGTCCGTGAAGACCTTGCTGTTAAAGGGCAAAGCTCCCGTGGATCCTGAGTGCACAGCCAAGGTGGGAAAGGTGAGAGATTCCTTTGCCCATCAATTTCTCAGAGAGCAGTTGTTCTTTTGCTACTGGGATTCCTGTCTGGAACACTACTAGTATTCATTTTAGGAATCCTCCAAAACACTACTAGTGATTAATTTTCTCACAGATTAAGAGATGGGGGTGCTGGAGTTTGGGGTTAATAATCAGGATTTTTTTTAACTTCTGGGGTTGTCATCAGCTTTCCGCACCTCATTCTCTTTCTCAGGTAGCAAATTATACCATTATCAAGGAAGAACCATCTTTGTTCTCATGAGAAACTGTGCTTTGGTATGGCATGAGTTACGAATGTGAAAAGGATTTGAAGAATACGGAAGAAAGGCTTCCTCTGGAGCAAGTTTCCTTTAAGTGTTAGAATCATTTGTTTTTCTGTAATTACAAAAAAAAGCCAACATGTTTTTGTTATAGGAATGAAGGGTTATATGTAAAAGAACGTGCTTTTGCAGTTCTTTCCTGGAAGGTAGATATTGGTAGTGCTGGAGAATGACACCTTGAGACAGAAGAAAATTTAGAGCATTACTAAGGCTCTCATGAGGACTGAGACTACACTAATGTCAATGTTTTCCTTCTCTCTAGGCCCATGTGTACTGTGAAGGGAATGATGTCTATGATGTCATGCTAAATCAGGTAAGGGGAGGAGCTGTTCTATGTATGGGAATTTTTTTCTTGGTAATTACAGATGAGCATGTCTCAATGCCCAGATCTTTAATTCTTAAGTCCCTGATATTAGCATTATAGTAGCTTTCTCCTTACAGCAGTTACTAGTACCTGTGACCAAGCAAGACATCAGTTTATGTGGCTTCCATTTGTAAACCTGTCTCATGTTGGTGTTTCTCTTATCATAGACCAATCTTCAGTTCAACAACAACAAGTACTATTTGATTCAGCTATTAGAAGATGATGCCCAGAGGCGCTTCAGCGTTTGGATGAGATGGGGCCGTGGTAATGACTCTTATTATTGGTTTTCTCATTTGTCATTCAGAAAGCCAGAAAGTGAGTAACCAGAAGATCTTCTGGGTTTAAACTGGTGGAAAGGAGGCTTTATAACCTAGGAGGGGCTCGCAAAAGGGAAATAGCAAGCATCTTCATTAACAAGTTCCCATTGGAAAAACTAAGAGCAGCCTGTTGAGGCTGGGAAGTGTCCTGCAGTTGGTCTGCTAATGCTGTTCAGGGACTGTGGCAGTTAGCAGGTAACTGATACCAACAGGATCAGTCCGCTCGGCCCATTCACCTTTCCCTCTCCCCTTCCTGCCTATTTGTCAGATGCTTAAGAGGGGAGACTTTGAGAAAATTCTTCTTGGATTGGGAGGCAGGAAACCATCTTATGTGTGGAATTTATTTTGCAGTTGGGAAAATGGGGCAGCACAGCTTGGTGGCTTGCGCAGGGGACCTCAACAAAGCCAAGGAAATCTTTCAGAAGAAGTGAGTTCTAAGAAATGAGTATCAAAAAATACCATTCTTTTTCTTCCATGTATCTTCTTTTAAGAATTTTATAAGAAGTGTGATTTGGCCTCAATGTTAATGTGTTTCCACTGTGACATTCTAGGAGTAGAATACCAAACTGCATCCTTAGTTAGTGATTACATCACCTGGAACCTTGAAATTAACTAAAAACAGGGGCGCCTGGGTGGCTCCGTGGGTTAAAGCCTCTGCCTTGGGCTCAGGTCATGGTCCCAGGTTCCTGGGATCGAGCCCCGCATCAGCCTCTGCTCCACAGGGAGCCTGCTTCCTCTCCTCTCTCTCTGCCAGCCTCTCTGCCTACTTGTGATCTCTCTCTCTGTGTCAAATAAATAATAAAATCTTAAAAAAAAAATGAAAGTATTAAAAAAGAAAAAGAAAGAAATTAACTAAAAACACAAGAATCTAATATATTTAGCATATGACCAACAATTAAGGAAATTTGGGAAAAGGGGGTGAGATGCGAATATTCAGTTAGAGCTTTAAAAATTCTAAAAATAGTAAAATATGATACGGAGACAGAGCTTTCTGGTCTCTGGGAATCTTTCAGAGAAAGAGCTTAGAAAGGGATCTTTTGTCTAAAATCTCAAAGGCTTTTGTGGTATTTTGGGGCCTTTGGGAAACTCAAGAGTCCTTTTTTCCCATTTTTTATTCCTATCGACTCTAGAGCCTTTTTTTCTTTTTTTCATTTAGGGTCCTAATTTAGAATCCAGGATTTTGGGGAATTCAGATATAAGAGTTGTAAGAAATAGTTGGCGGGGGGGAGAAATAGTTTGGAGATGTTCTAAGGAAACAATTATAAGCCCATTCCTAGTAGTAAGAGTTTTCTTACTTGTAAGATTTTTTATAAGATTTTTCTCACCATTGTGGATCCCACAGATTCCTTGACAAAACAAAAAACAATTGGGAGGACCGTGAGAAGTTTGAGAAGGTGCCTGGAAAATATGATATGCTAGAAATGGACTATACCACCAATACACAGGTAAACTCCAGCTGTACATTTGGGGAGAAAACTGCTTCCTCTGAACCAAGGTGAAGTCTAGCAGAATGGCTTAGATCGGGTCCCAGACTAGAACAGATCAGGGTATCCTGAGTCTTGCTATTTCCCACCTAAGCAAAGGAAACAGTTCCCTCAGGGGTAACTTTCACTGATCTTTGTAATCTTGAAAGGACTGTAATAAGAATAGAATATGCTTTCTAGTCTCATTATTTAATACAGTTCTTTTAAAATCTTTGGTCCTCTTTCCAGAAGTTTAATGTATGGATTGAGAGAGGAGTAATAGCATTTAAAGTTGTCTTCACTTCTGGTTATACACCACATTTAAAAAAATTAATTTCAACAAGTTGAGTTGGAACCAGGATGCTGAAAACTGTCATAGTATCTGAGAAATGTAAAAATCTTAGTCTTTTTAAGATGAGAAGATCTGAGACCTAATGGCTGTCATAACATACTTAAACATAACAACTCATTAGGAGAGCCTTTTAGACTTGTTCTGGGAGTTTAACTGTGGGAGGCATAGGGAAGAGCAGAAGGTGGAATCACATCAAGTACTCTAACCAGGTTAATGATGGAATGAGCCTGTGTTCAAGCAGAAGCTGATTGGTGTTCACCTGCCAGGGGTACTATAAAGCCAGCCCTTGCAGGGACCTTAAAATAGATCCTTCCGGATTTTGTAATTCTCTTTTTTTCCATTGTAGAGTGAAGAAGAATCAAAAGGGGACTCTCTTAAATCCCCTTTGAAACCAGAATCACAGCTAGATCTTCGTGTGCAGGAGCTGATAGAGTTGATCTGTAATGTCCAGGCCATGGAAGAAACGATGGTAGAAATGAAATACGACACCAAGAAAGCCCCACTGGGTAGGACTTCAGATTCTTTTTTTTTTTTTTTTTTTTTTTTTTAGGACTTCAGATTCTATCCCACATCCTCTCTTTGTATTTCCTAGTTCCTTTAATAGGATATTTCATCACCTTCATGATTTAAAGCTTGTTGATACTGTGAATGAAAGAAAGGAGATCTGGGGTGAGAGGTAGTGTCGGGTAGGAGACGCTGTTTTGAGAGCTGAAAGGTGGGAGTGTTTGTCGATTAGGCACATGAATACTGTTTTCAGGATAGGACCCTAGTTGTGAGTTCTGATGATCTCTGGATGGGCCTGCAGGGAAGCTGACAGTGGCACAAATCAAGGCAGGCTACCAGTCTCTAAAGAAGATTGAGGACTGTATTCGGGCTGGTCAGCATGGACGAGTTCTTATGGAAGCTTGCAATGAATTCTACACCAGGATCCCACATGACTTTGGGTAAGGCCTGTGCTGCTACACTTCTCTTTGGTCTTCTACCCACCTATATCCATCTACATCACTCAACAGTAACTATAATCTTTTTACTCTCAATTCTAATGAAATGATCATCTTAGATAGATACAGAGCCAAAATGATTTATAGATAGCCTGTGTAGTCCACTTACAAGTTTGGGATGCCATCTCCTGGTCTGATTATAACCATATTTTCTGACCGAGTAGAAGTTACCAAGAAAAATAGGCCTAGATATCCAGCCATCAAGTAAAATAGCTTCAGGTGTGAAAGTCTCTATTCCGTATTCAAATGACAGTAGATATAGAAAATACATTTTATCTTTGTTGATTCTATATTCTGGTGCTTTTTCTGTTTTTATTCTTTTCTTGCTTTATAGCACTCTATGACCTAAAAATAACCCTGAGTGGTCAGCAGGTCTACTTCTGTTTCTAGACAGGACTATATCCAAGCTGTTACTTTTTGATGTTGATATATCTAATTTAAAAAATAAAATTTGGGTATTATCAATAACAAGAAATAACAAGGGTTGGAGAGGATGTGGAGGAAAAGGAACTCTTGTATACTACTGATAGAACTGTAAATTAGCACAGCCACTATAGGAAACAGTATGGAGATTCTTCAAAGAATTAAAGAGTAGAACTACCATATGACCCAACCATTCCACTTCCGGATATTTATCTGAAAAATATGAATACACGAATTCAAAAAGATATGCATCCCTGTGTTCATTGCAGCATCATTTACAATAGCCAAGATATGGAAACAACCTGTGTGTTCATTACAGATGAATGGATAAAGAGGAAGTGGTATATATATACAATGGAATACTACTCAGTTATAAAAAAAAGAGTGAAGTCTTGCCATTTGCACAACATGGTTGGATGGATCTTGATGGTATTATGCTAAGCAAAATAAGCCAACAGAGAAAAACAAATACCATATGACTTAATTCATGTAGATTCTAAAAAAAAAAATTCATAGATACAAGGAACAGACAGAGGAAAGGGGTTGGGGGTGGGTGAAATTGGTGAACGGGGCCGCTGTAAGGTGAGGGATAGTAACTGAACTTGCAGTGATGACTCTCAAATTACAAAGCTGCACATCTGAAATGTATTAAGGGAACCCATAAAAAAGAATTGCATTTCTAGTCCCAGATGTCAAAATCTATACAGTGTGTTTGTTTTATCTTTAGTCTGTTACTTTTAGTCATATGCCTTTGGCCACCCATCAGAGAACTGATTATGGATTATATCTCTGTCCTTAGACTCCGTACCCCTCCATTAATCCGGACAGAGAAAGAACTGTCAGACAAAGTACAATTACTAGAGGTGAGACGTGTGGATTGGGAAGTATTACTCTCTGGTTCCAAGTCCCTACACATTGATCCTATATCTCATCTTGTCAGGCTTTGGGAGACATTGAAATTGCCATTAAGCTGGTGAAGACAGAGCTGCAAAGCCCAGAACACCCATTGGACCAACACTATAGAAAACTGCATTGTGCCCTGCACCCTCTAGACCATGAAAGTTATGAGTTCAAAGTAAGAAAAATGATCATTTATTTTCCTACCTGTAGGACCTCTGCTCCTTACCCTGTTCTGTGACTACTCTGGTTAAGAATGAACTTTTTTTTTTTTTTTTTGGAGAGCAGCAAGCAAGGTTTATTGAGTGATAATACAAAGCTCCCAAAGGAGGGGACCCAAGAGGGTTGCCCAAGAGCAAACTTTTGTATAGAGCAGAATTTCAGTTTACCAGGAATTAGGGGAGGTAGAGCTCTTTCTGACTGTCTTGTGAGGCCATTAGGGAGCAGAAAGTCTCTGATTTTTACCAGAAGCCCTGAGGTTCTTCAGTTTGGTCTGGTCTCTTGTAGAGTCCACACCAGCCATTTCTTTCATTTCTTCTCACAGGTGATTTCCCAGTACCTGCAGTCTACTCATGCTCCCACACACAGGGACTATACCATGACCTTGCTGGATGTCTTTGAAGTGGAGAAGGAGGGTGAGAAAGAAGCCTTCAGAGAGGACCTTCATAACAGGTCTCAGTTTAGCTTTGGGTTTGGGAAGACATTGCCTTGCCAGAAGTGCAGTTATGGAACTTCTGGAAAATGGGAGAAAATGGCTTTTTTATCCTTATAGCCTATCTCTGCTGGAGAGCAACAGAGTACAATAATAATACCTGTTCCCTAGGATGCTGCTATGGCATGGTTCCAGGCTTAGTAACTGGGTGGGAATCCTGAGCCATGGGCTTCGAATTGCCCCACCTGAGGCTCCCATCACAGGTTACATGGTGAGTAGAATCCTGGAAGGAGGCACAAGGGTAAAGGATACAATAATTTTCTTAGTCCTTTCCCCCCCTCCCTTTTTTCTTCTAGATTAGGATTCCATAGTACCTTTCCCGAGAAGTAAACCAGCTCACTGATAACCCTGACTTTTTTTTTCTTTTTTCACACCCTAACATTTCTTACTATGTCCCTCTTTCTTTAAATTCCTAAAGATATCCTTTCTACCCCCTCAGAAAGCAGAGACTCACGAATACACCTGCTTCTCTGGAAAAGAATTGCAAAGGGAAATGGAGAAAGGTCTATATTGTGTTTAAGATCATGAAACACAGGGTCAGTGGTACAGGCCTTCTTGCTAACACAATGGATTAAGCAGCTGACCTTCAAGTTTGTTTATATATTTCAGTTTGGGAAAGGAATCTACTTCGCCGACATGTCTTCTAAGAGTGCCAATTACTGCTTTGCTTCTCGAGTGAAGGATACTGGACTACTGCTTTTATCAGAGGTGAGATGAACATATTTATGATCTCTAGTTTATTATTAGTTCCTGTTTTTCCAGAGAGAAAAGTTTGATTCCAGAACCAAGAGGTTCACCTGGGAGAACTTGAAAGGGGAGCAAAGGGCAATTTCCATTCCATTCCTGTGCAGGAGGAGGGGAAGAAAGTACTGGTGGGATTTTCTGTTTGGCCTTAGAGCCATCCAGTTCTCAGGAAGATGTGGGTGTTTAAAGATCTTTTTTGCTTTGCAGGTCGCTTTAGGTCAGTGTAATGAGCTATTAGAGGCCAATCCTGAGGCAGAAAGATTACTTCAGGGCAAACATAGCACCAAGGGACTAGGCAAGATGGCTCCCAGTCCTGCCTCCTTCATCACCCTGTGAGTACTCAGAGCCTATAAAGCCAGAAGACTTCTTTTGGCCAGATAAGACTCTCTACTTTCTATATTCCAGCTTCTCAGAGGCAGATATTGACATGCTTTTTTTCATTTGGCAGGAATGGGAGTATGGTACCCTTAGGACCAGCAAGTGACACAGGAGTTCTGAATCCAGAGGGTTATACCCTCAACTACAATGAATTTATTGTCTATAACCCCAACCAGGTCCGTATGCGATACCTGCTAAAGGTTCAGTTTAATTTCCTGCAGCTGTGGTGAATATTAAATAAACTAGATAAGGTATGATCTTCAAACAAGAAAATAGGCAGTGTTGTACTCTTGAATTTTCTGATCTTTTATGTAATAAAAATGGCAGAAATCTACCATTGGCTTCTTTGGGCTTTATTTCTCCAACCACGTATTCTTCTCATGTTCATACTTCTTCATCTTCAGGACAGGAAGTACACATTGCCTTATGTATCCCATAGCTAGCTGCAAGTTACTCAGGATCCTGTTCCTAACAGCAGAATAACCTCTGTGCATTGAAGGACACTAATGGTGACTGATGCTTTTCCCCATTTAAGTAAATTTAAGCAACGTGGAGTTTGTTGGGTATTACTATAAGAAGGGTAGAGACTGGGCACCTGGGTGGCCCAGTTGGTTCAGCAACTGCCTTTGGCTCAGGTCATGATCCCCGATCTCCTGGGATTTAGTCCCTCATTGGGCTCCCAGCTCCACAGGGAGTCTGCTTCTCCCTCTAAGCTTCTCCCTTCTCATGCTCTCTCTCACTGTCTCTCTCTCAAATAAGTAAAAAAAAAAAAAAAAAAATCTTTAAAAAAAAAAAAAAAGGGTTGAAACAACTGCAGACCAGGTCTCCCACCACTTACCCTAGGACTCAGCAGATGTCCAAAAATCTGCAAGCACTTAGAGGACTTGTCACTTAAGTCTAAATACATCTCAGGGAGGAAAGGAGAGGAATTAGAATGAGTTTTGAGCTGCCTGCTCCACCTAAGAAGTACCAAAGTCCACGTCAGATCCAAAGACTTCCTGATTATTCATAAACACATGCAACACAAATATACATACATAGATACATGCACACACACACACTTAGACACACATAACACATACTTACTGAGATAACAGTGAAGGTTATTTAAATGAAAACAGTAGCCTATAACTTTTTAGAGACCAGATTACCAATATCTATCTAAATTTAAAATATACATACCCTTTGACCTAAAAACTACAGACATACTTGTTTGTATAGATGAAGTCAGTGCAGCATTGTCATATGCAAAAGATCCCTAGATAAGGAAGTGGTTAAACATACTCACTCACTGAAATACTGTGCTGCTGTTAAAACTAGACTACACACTTCTCCAAAAAGTAGAAAAGAATACTTCCCACCTCATTCCATGAGGCAATAGGAAACCAAAATCCAGTAAAGATACCACCAGGAAGGAAAACTATAGACCAATGTCCTCTAAGAATACAGATGTGTGGGGCACCTGGGTGGCTCAGTGGGTTAAAGCCTCTGCCTTCAGCTTGGGTCATGATCCTGGGGTTCTGGAAGGTTCTGGGAGGTTCTGGGATGGAGCCGCACATCTGGCTCTCTGCTCAGGGGGTAACCTGCTTCCTCTCTCTCTGCCTGCCTCTCTGCCTACTTGGATCTCTGTCAAATAAATAAATTTAAAAAAAAAAAAAGAATACAGATGTGCAATAAAATGCTACCAAGCCTAAACCAGTAAAGTAAAAAGAATTCTACACCATGACAAAGAGATTTATTAAAGGAATGTGAGGTTGGTTCAATATATGAAAATCAGTGTAGGACAAAAGTCATATGACTATCTTATTAGATGCAGAAAGGCATTTGGCAAAATCTAGCACCCTTTCATGATAAACATTCAGCAAAGAATGGAAGGGAACTTCTTCAATCTGACAAAGGACATCTATGAAAAACCCACAGAAAGATTGAAATAGATGAATGACTCCATACATTCTGGAAATGGGGAAGAAACGATAAATAATCCTTTCAGAAGGATTTCAATTAACGTAGAAGGCTTGAGGGAAATAGAAAATCATTAGAAATGGGGTGCTGAGTGGCTCAGTCAGTTGAGCATCTGACTCTTGATTTCAGCTCAGAAGCCTACTTGGAATTTTCTCTCTCTTTCTCCCTCTGCCACCGTCGCCCTGCACCCTCCCCCAAACCCTCCCCAACACACTCTCTCTCTCTCTCTCTAAAAAAAAAAAAAAAAAAAAATCACAGTAATAATTGCTATAGTCAGGATCAATGGACGGATGCTAAAATTAGTGGAACAGGATAACTTTCATAGTTTCAAAAAACCTACCTCAAGATTTACTGATTACTATGGTGATTTTAACATAGGAGCAGAAATTCTTCCGTAATTCTCCCTCCAGGAGGTTTAGTCTCTCTCCTTTTAAGTGGGGGCTGGGTTTAATGACTTGCTTCTAACAGAGAATGGAAAAATAACAGTAAAAGAAAAATAAAGTGATCAAAATTGGGACACCTGGGTGGCTCAGTCAGTTAAGCATCTGCCTTTGGCTCAGGTCATGATCCCAGGGTCCTGGGATTAAGCCCCATTTGGGGCTCCCTGCTCAGCAAAGAACCTGCTTCTCCCTCTCCCTCTGCCATCCCCCAACTCCCCTGCAACTGTGCTCTCTGACTCTTATCTCTCATCAAATAAATACAATAAAATCTTTAAAAACAAACAAACAAAACCTCAAAATGTTTAAACTATCTAAATTAAGGGCCCCTGGGTGGCTCAGTCGTTAAGCGGCTGCCCTCAGCTCAGGTCATGATCTCAGGGTCCTGGGATTGAGCTTCGTATTGGGCTCCCTGCTCAGAGGGGAGCCTGCTTCTCCCTCTCTCACTCCCCCTGCTTGGTTCCCTCTCTTGCTGTCTCTCTCTCTGTGTCAAAGAAATAAATAAATAAAATCTTAAAAATAAAATAAACTACCTAAATTAATTTTCCCTTCAACTCCCTCGGGCACATGTTTACAGTTACCCAGAGTCTGTTATTGTCACTCACAGCAATTATACTATGACCTTGCTGTACACCTGCAAGGTAAGAAAGACAAAAAAACCTTCAGGAGGGCCTGGCCAACAAGGCTGTCTATCGAGCAAAAGTCAAGTCAGCCTTTTCTCAGCTTTCTCCATCCCCATCCTTCGGCCTTAGATGGGGGGCTTTCGTAGAATTTTTCGAGCTTGGAATACAGGCGTCGAGGGCTTCCTCCTGTCCTTGGCCCATGCTCTCAGGAGAGCAAAAAGCAAAAGACTGAAATCAGCAACTTTCAGGATGATGCTGTGCCACGGTTCTCTGTAGCATTTCTGGGTAGTATTATAAATCATAAATTTCAAATAACCTTAATTTGGATTCTGGTCACAAGGTATGTGGAGGAGGTGGTCTAGAAGGTACTTTTAGAGCCCTTGCATGAGACACATGAGAGAAGATAGAAGCATGACCCATGATTAAAACATCAGTTGATGGAATTTCTTATATCTTTATCCTCCAGCTGAGGGAGACCATGGGGCACTAGTAGAAATAAGGGGAAAGTCTCTCAGATGATCTGTCCACGAAAACCTGGAATCAGGGCAACGTGAGAACAAAACTCAGTACCCTCAACTCCCCAGTTCCTCAAAATTCACTTCTTTCTTTTTTTTTTTTAAGATTTTATTTATTTATTTGAGAGAGAGTGAGAGAGCATGAGAGGGGAGGTCAGAGGGAGAAGCAGACTCCCATGGAGCTGGGAGCTCAATATGGGGCTTGATCCCAGGTACTCCGGGATCATGACCTGAGCTAAAGAGAGTCGCTTAACCAACTGAGCCACCCAGGCACCCGTCAAAACTCATTTCTAATCAGAGTGCAGTGGTAGTTCTCTGAGAAAACCCTACCAACTTAGAACAAAATCTTGTAAGCCTGGCTTCTCATATGCGAGTCCTTGAGCTTTGGGACATAGAAGACCTTGAACTTTTCCCTAACTCTTAGAGTCTCAGGGAACTTCCTCTCCCATAAGATAAAACTATAGGAAAACAAGGTTTTAGAACTTAAAAGGATCACAGTCCATGGTGAGTCCATGGGTAGGATTGTTCCCTCTCTCCATGTTTTAATCTTCATGAACTTCAATTTGAGAGCTACACTTTTGGGGTTTCTTCCAAGAATGCAAATTACTATTACTGACAAACATGTGCAAGTCAAATGGCTGCTGCTGCTGCCTAGTCAGCGGCTGTGAAAGCCAGGAGTCCCGTTCCACTCAGCGCCCCAGCTTCTCACCTCTCATCTGGACAGTCAGTTCCGCACAGAAGAGGCTATTTCTGTGGGAGGAACTTAATGTTCTCTCTAAACGCCCTGACTGGGGGGCACTTGCAACTCACTCCTCCTTTTCTTAATCTTTCTTGACTAAGTGAGATGTCTTCAGCACTCTGTTCAAACTAAGTGCCGGCCAACATCACTCATTCCTCCCCCCGCCAGGAATGGCATCTCAGGACCCTTGGACCAGCAAATGACACAAGACTTCTAAAGCCTGGTTTCAAAGAATATCTATGAAAGAACTGGTTCCCTTTCTTGCAATTCTAGTAAGGGCTAATGTTAAATCAGAAAAGAAACATGAGGATATCCATATTCTTCTGATCCACATCCACATCAGAACACAGGCAGACTGCACTGGAGATTTTCTGACACTTTATTTTAAAAATTGAATCAAAAAAGGAGCCACTGGTGTCTTCCGGCTTTGCATCTCAAGCACAAGTGGGTGGGGCATCTTTACTCCCAGGAGAGAAAGTACACGTTGCCCAGTGTGTCTCCCACCGCAAGCTGCAGGGTAGAGTCGGGGCCCAGCCAAGGTTCCAGGCAGCTGACAGCCGCTTCACACTGGAACAGACCCAGCTACAAAGGGGAACAAAAGATGGGGAGGTGAAGGCTAAGGCCTAGGGCCTTAGGGCCTCCTAAGGGCCTCCTACAAGCCTAGGGCCTCCTTACTAACTCATTTTTCTCTCACATTAATGCCTTTTATTTAGAAATAGGTTAGTTGCACATGATAGCAAAGATAGAAGAAAACAGAATTTTGATCTTTTGTACATTCTTTGCCCAAGTTTGCCCTCTGTGACGTTCTTTTAGCCCTCCTTGCATAAATACACACTTACCAGCTGCATACTGGGTCTCTCCCACAGCTTAACATCTCTGTCCTTTGAAGCTGTCACCAGCAACCCAGGCAGCACATGGAGGGCTGTGACAGAGCCCGAGTGAATCTTGGAGGGGAAGGAGAAGCGATGTGGTGAGCTTTCAGTGGGCCTTCCTTTGTCAAGGAAGCATCCACCGGTCAGACAGAGAGCCTCCTCCCCTCTATTTGTGACCCATGCCTC